CCCCGCAAGTGCAACGTCCCGAGTTCAATCCCTAGTACTGAAAAAAAAAAAAAAAAATCAAGATTGGGTCAGGGATATAGGAAGCGCAAGGTCTTGAGTTCAATACCCAGTACTGAGGAAAAAAAAAAAAGAATCAACATTAAGGCATGGTGGCACATGCCTGTAATCCTAACACTTGGGAGGCTGAGGCAGGAGGATTGTAGTGAGTTCGAGGCCAGCCTGGACTAAATAGCGAGACTCTGTCTCAAAGAAAAAAAAAGAATCAGCATTCAACATTAACCTGGATGTGGTGGCTCAGGCCTGTGAATGCACTTGGGAGGCTGAGGCAAGAGGACTGCCATGAGGTGTTTTTTTGTCTTTTTGAGACAGGGTTTTGCTATGTACTTTAGGCTGACCTTGATCTCATTTTGTAGCCCAGGTTGGCCTAGCAATTACAGGCATGTGCCACCATGCTCAGCTTGAGTTTGAGGCTAGCATAGGCCACATAGTGAATTCAAGGCCAGCTTGAACTGCAGAGCAAGACCTTGTCTCAAAACAAGAACCAAAAAGTCATTAACATCAGATGCTTTTCTCTATTCTTTCAACATGATTCTCTGACTAGAAATCTTAGAAGGTACTGACTTCAATACTAATGAGTACACTAGCAGCTTCCAGATATAGCCTTCTCTTCAGCTGAGTTTCAACACAGCATTAGAATGACATATTTAAGACAGCCAGTTCACCTGGGCATGAGAAATGATTAAAAACATGTAAAGTCTACTTTCCCCAGAGGGCCACCCATAGCACCTGCTCCTCTGCCCTCAAAAGTCCTAACAGCCCCCAGGTGCATGGTATATGCAACAGGGTGTGTAATGAATGCTTCCGTAGGAGGGCACCAGCTGCACATCACCTAAGAGAAGCCAATGAGTTGCAGAGGGAGCACTTTGAGAAGCCTGAGGAGTTCTGTAACCTCACTAACGGCAAAAACAGAAAACAGAACAGAGTAGAAACTTGAGCTGATATTTTTCATAGCCAAGAGTCTCAACTTGTGATGGATGGATAAGTAACCTGGAAGTATTTCCAAAGGACTATAAGAGCTTACAAGGTCTTCAGGAGTTCTTTTATTTTTGAGACAGGGTCTCACTACGTAGCCTAGGCTGGCCTCGAACTCATTGAGACCCTCCTGCCTCAGTCTCCCAAGTGCTGGGACCGCAGGTGTGAGCCACCATGCCCAGCTCAGGAGTCTTCTTCAAGCCATTATCAGAGAGTTTAAAGGAAGAAACAGTGGTACAAAAGAAAAAAATAACATTACATGGTGCTGGGCCACATCAATACATATTTAAAAGATTTGGTCTTGGCCTTTCAGGATTTCAGCTCCAAAGAGGAGAGGGCAGGGTACTTCAGATGAGGGGAATAGCAGAGCAAAGGTAAGAGTACTCATGAAAATGATGCTTCACAGAAGTGGGAAGGATTTTTTTTCCTTTTGAGACTCAGTAATGTGTAGGAATGACAGCAGGGGAAAACCAGAAACAAGAACACAAGAGCCACCTGAAAGAATGTATTTCACATGGCAGATAATGAAAACTTGGACTAGAGACACAGACATGAGAGAATAAAGAGATGAGATTCCTCCTGCAGTCTGTCAATTAATAGTTTCACTTCAGCTATCTTCAAATATATGAAGAGAAAAAAATCATATCTAGGTGTGATAGTGCACACTTGTGAGGCTCATGGAGCAGGACCTCAAGTTCAAGCCCAGGTTGGGCAATATAAGACCCTGTCTCCAAAAACAAACAAACCTGTATAAAATAGTTATTAGGTCAAACCAATAGGTGTTGATCCTCGTTACATATCAAATATATATATGGAGCACTGAAACGAATGTATGGTTGGCAATAAGAATTCAAGTGTGTAAGCTGCAGGCTAGGACTGAAAGTCACGGCAAAAGCATTTCCTTGTGCATGTTGCCCTAGGAACAAAGGTAGTTCCAGTGAGGCTGGAAGAGATCACAGCGTTCTTCAATCCACCAGGAATGTAAATAGGTGGAGTTTAGCGGAAGTCAGGGTTAGTTACACAGATCCATCAAGATTAACTACTGCCTCTTCCATCCATCCCAAGCTTTAATAATGTGCCTATAATCCCAAATATGCAGGACGCTGAGGCAGGAGGATCATAAGACCACCCTGGGTAACTCAGCAAAACCCAGTCTCAAAATAATAATAGTAATAGAATCCACCTGCCCTCAGGGATGGTACCTAGCCTTGATAATGAATTCCAACAATTATTACTTCATGCCTGCTGTGTACCAGATACTATTATTTTAACCTCTAACTGAAAAACTGGTAAGAGTCCCTTCCCTAAAAGAACACAAATATAGTAGAAGGATAGATCAGTTGTCCCGGGAAAGAAAAGGCGGGAGGGGGACACTTAGGGGCTGGAGAAGAGGACCCAAATAAACTAGTAAGAACAGGTCCTGCACAGCTTTTTTTCTGTGTTCTATAGAAACACTGTATCAAATATCATTATAGCTACTGTTTTAAGAGTAGCATGCTGGGCTAGGGACAAGTGGCTCAGTTGTGGAATGTTGGCCTATGTTGTTCCTGGGTTTAATCCCCAGTGGTGAGGGTGGGGGATAAAGGGTAGTACAGGAATCTACAACCTAAGGAGATGTTGAGAACTTAAAATGAACACTGCAACAGGGAGGAAAACTGTGTAGATGGGAAGGGGACTCAGAAAAGGGGGGAGAAAAAATAACCGAGATGCAGTATGTATATGTATCAATTCCCCAAGACAAATGTAAAATTATGTATCAAAAAAATCTCAATTAAAAAAAATCTTACACTTGTAAAATGAAAGTGGGAAAAAAAAAAACACCTAAAAGGAGAAAAAGAACTTGTTCAAAATAGGCCCATTTTAGCTGGGTAGAGGTACACGCCTGTAATCCCAAGTCCGTGGGAGGCCACCAAATGGCCCCAGTTACTTAGTAAATCCTTGTTTCAAAATTTTTAAAAAAGTGCTAGAATGTAATTTAGTGTGAAGGACCTGAGTTCAATCCCCAGTAACAACAACAAAGATTCACTTTACTTTTAATAGGATTCTTTAAATGTTTCTAACAGGTTAGGTGATGGTACTCCTGATCTGTGCAAAAGAAAACTACAGTCAGAAAACATTTCCAGCTAAAATCTTAATAAATAATAGATGAACGTGAAGAATTAAGAACATTACAGCAGGCAACTTCTTGGATTCCAAATTGCCTACTCAAAAAAATTGATCTTTCTAGCCGGCATTGTGCAGCCGGAAGTTCTCTTCTAAACCAATGAGAAGCAGACACCGCAGCAGAAATCCACGGAATTGTGGTACTTTAGTGCATGATGGGATACGTAGTTTTAAGGGAAGCATGTGCAACATTTTAAAGTAGAAAAGAATGCAGTAACTGAAACTTAAAAAAATTTAGCTTTTTTTTGTGGGAACAGGGATTTAGCTCAGCGGTTCCGCCGCCTGCCTCGAAAACACAAGGTCCCGAGTTTGATCCCGGTTACCCCCTCCAAAAAATTTATCTTTAAACTAACAGTTTAATGGCCCCCAATTCTCCAGCAATTCCTACTTTAAACTGTTTATGACCCCCACAGTAAAACAAGCACCATACGGTGACCCCTCAATGTTAACAGCTGGGACTTTATAGATTGGGAAGAGCTGTTCCTAAGATATAACAAGTCAGCTGAGCTTTGAGGAGTGAAGACTTGAGTCAAAAGCAAATAAAATACTATACACTAAATCTCTTACTGATACTTTTGAGTACAGACAGTTTTTAACTATGGGCCATTGTACCAGGAGGGGGATGGTAAAACACTGCAATTAGCATGGGTCTACTCAATTATCCCTAGTGTTAAAATAATTATTGGCTCTAGTAATGATTTGGAAGTTAACACCACCACCACCACCACCACTTAGTTTGGTAGGGCTAGAAATACTATTTTCTCCCTTCAATCCAAGCCAGATTGGAGTTAGTTCCACTGAAAGGAATTCACACTGCGGTTCGGTTAAGTCACTCTACAACATTGGTTACTGGTGTCATTTTTTTTCAGGAATCCTAATTTAAAATGAAATCCTAATTTCAACAGATTTTGATGGAATAATTCTTGTTCACGTATTCTTTCTGATGGAAACCTCTTCCGAGAGGTTGGTGAGAAATAAACTATCAGCTGAATATATAAACTACACCATGTGATGGAGAAAACTGCCTGCCCTAAGAAAAGCACTGATAGCCGTTCTGCAGCCTCTGCTGACCTTGGCTAGAAACTCAGGGCTCTGGGCCCGGGAACCCTGCATTTGAGGGTTTAAAATAACCAGAGAGCCTTTACACCGACCCACCTAGATCGGGCCGCAACGCCCGGGGGAGGGGTGGCCGACCTCTGCAAATAGGAAGTGTGGCCATCGCACCGCGATGATGCGGCCCTGCGCCGAGCCTTCCGGCTCCATCTCGGACCTCGCTCCGCTCGGGCGCGACACCTCGGGCTCCTGGGGCCGGGAACAGGCCGGCCAGGATGGCTGAGGGCGCGCGGCTACGCAGGCCCGACCGCTCCCGAGCCTTCCCCAAGCGCCCAGCAGAGGAGTCTCACCAGGGTGCAAAGAACTCCACCAGCATGAGGCCCGCGGAGCCCGTGTCGGAGACGCGGCTCTCGAAGGTGTCGTCCGTGAGCTCCAGCACGTCGGAGGCAGCGGCGAGACGGGCCGTGGAGAGAAGCAGCGCCACGACAGAGAACAGCTCTAAGCGGTGGGAGCGCATCGCGGCGGTGCGAGGAGGGCAGCGGATCGGCGGGCTCTGCGGCGGCGGGCCGGCGACCACGTATACGTCGCCTGCGGTCTTACTTCTGGCCCAGGCGGAGCTCAAGCCGGAGGTCCCAACCCTCGCTACGCGGAAACGCCCAGCGGGCGAGACCAGTGCGTAACTGCTAATTGGCTGTGCCACGCCTGCGCTGGGCGGGCGGGACCAATGCGTAACCGTTGATTGGGTGTGCCTCGCCTGCTCCGGGCGGGCGGGACCAACGGGTAACCGCCGAGTGGCCGGGGCTCAGAGAGGCGGGGGCCGTACGCTGGTCCTACACGGAGGGAGGCGGGCGCTGTGAGGGGAATGAGTGGGCGAGAGTAGGAGCTAAGGACGAAGGACAGGCGCTGAGGAAACGTCCCAGTCCACACCCCGGGACCGGTCTTCACAGTGTCAGGCTGAGGTATCTAGTGCTGTTGCTCGGAGTGGCTTCTCTCCAGGGCTGCCATCCATCCCATGGACAGACTCCCGCCGGTCCCATGGGGCTCGGCTTTCATTGTCCAGCTTTGTGGCTCCTGCCCTGATGGCGGCTGCTTTTTTTTTTAAACTGATTTTTAAAAAATGACTTTTAAATTAGCAATGCTGTCAGAAAGTGAAGATGACGGGACATTTGGTCAACTGGGCAATATCTCTCTTAAGACTTTTTTTTCTTCCCGATACCGGGGATCGAACTCTAGAACTTGTGCTTACGAGGCAGGCGCTGCACCACTGAGCTAAAATCCCCAGCCCACTGGCTTTTTTTTTTTCACCTGGTTTTCTTTTTTCTTTTTTTTGGTACCGGGGATCGAACCGGGGTCCTTGCGCTTGCGCAGCAGGCGGCGAAACCACTGAGCAAAATCCCCGGCCCAAAATTTATTAATGACTTTTTTTTGGTACTGGGGATCAAATTCAGGACCTTGCGCTTGCGAGGCAGGCGCCAGAACCACTGAGCTAAATCCCTGGCCCCTATGGTTTTCTTTTTCTTTTTGGTATGGTTTTCTTTTTAAAAGATGATACTGAGGGTTGAACTCAGGGCCTTCGCAATTAGCTAAAGCCTAGCCTTTTAAATTCTTTTTTTTTTTAGTTTGGGACAGGGTCTCATTAAGTGTTTAAATTGACCAGGTAGGCCTTGAATTTGGAATCCTTCTGCCTCAGTGTTCCAGAGTGCTGGGATTACTGACTTGTTTTCGCCACCATGCCCAGCCTTCTCTAGGACTTTTATTATGCGTTCACACACACTTTGATTTTTAGTATTTTCTTCCCAACTGCTTGTAGTTCCTAGATATGTGACTTTTTAAAGATCTCTTATGAGCAAAGAGCATGAGGAGAGGAATAAACAAAACTACTTATAATCCTGGTGCAATAAGAAGGAAAGGCCCTGGCCTGTTTACTTTTTGACGTGGGTGTGGATCACCACGCAGGGCAGGGCACGTGCACCTGAACAGAGCTGATGCCATTCAGTCGCCCTGACACTTTCTCCTGAAGCATTTGCAAGGTTTAAGCCAGCCTGTGCCACTTCACTCGGGATAATTGGTTAGCAGCCTGTTTTCCCGATGCGCTAAATTTAAGAGTTTAACACCCCTGTCCACATTCTCCAAGGAATAGGAATCAGAGAAACACATTTAAGGGTATAAAATTGAGGGAAGATTGGTTTGGTTGCTAATCTGGAGATTACACAACTTGATAAATCATTCTGGGAGTTTACAAATAACTTTTTTTTTTCCAGTACTGAAGATTGAACCCAGGGCTTTCACACTGAGCTCCAGCCCACCACCCCCTCCTTTCTTTTTTGATTTTATTTTGAGACAGGGTCTCATTAAGTCTTTTTTTTTTTTGGTACAGGGGATCAAATTCAGGACCTTGTGTTTGTGAGGCAGGCGCCAGCACCACTGAGGTAAATCCCTGATGATCTCATTAAATCTTAGTTGTCAGGCTGGGCTCCAATTTAGGGTCTTTCTGCCTCAGTCTGCCAGAGTGCTGGGGTTGCAGCCGGCCACTATGCCTGGCTTTTAAATAAAAATCCCTGGCCGGAGATTTAGCTCAGTGGCCTGACTTGCAATCACAAGGTCCTGAGTTCAATCCCCGGTACAAAAAAAAAAAGTATATGAATCGGGCTGTGGTGTGCACACCTGTAATCCCAGCACTCAGGAGGCTGAGGCAGGAGGATTGCAAGTTCCAGGCCACCCTGGACAACTTAGCAACTTCATGATACCCTGTCTCAAAATCCAAAACGTGGCAAGACATCGTCTCAAAAAAATAAAATAAAACCAATAGAAAATGGGGTGTGATGTCACACATCTATAATCACAGCATTCTGAGAGGCAGAGGCAGAAGGATTGCAAGTTTGAGCCCAGCCTGGGCAACTTAGCAATTTAGTGAGACCTTGTCTCAAAATGAAAAAAAACAGAGCTGAGAATGTAGTTGGTTTCAATCTTCAGTACCAACAAAAGGAAAAAAAAAACTTCCATAACTGGACATTGGTAATTCTGTTTTGCACTTTAAACTTCAGTTGGCTTATTTTTATAATTTTCATATTTTGTTTTAAATGTTGAGAAAGCAAACAGATTTGGTTCATTTGCAAGGTTTTCCCTGAAAATAACTCACTGGAACATGGATAGTTCTTATTTCCACGAAAAGTATAACATCACTACATTTTTATTTGACACTGATGTTTAACTTTCTAGAGACAGGTCAATGTGGTATATAACATTTTTCTTTTCTTTCTTTCTTTTTGGAGTACTGGGGATTGAACTCATGACCTTGTGCTTGCAAGGCAGGCGAGGTGCCACTGAGCTAAATTCCCGGCGATAAGATTTTTAATCAGATTAGTGCAATTTATAGAATGTAAAGATCATCCTGAGATAAACTTTCAGCCCTGTCTTTCTTATGCTCTTCATGAACTTGTATTTCAACATTAATGTTCCTTACTTCATTAGGATTGTATTAGCTAACATATTACTAAAAACAATAATAATTTTAAACTAAGTGTCAGAATCTACACAGCAGTCTGTGCTGTTCAGGGTGATTGAGTATGTGCCAAGCACATGAGTCAGAATGTTTGGGGGATTGCAGATGGTTCTGTTTTAGAGGGAAACATAGATAACATTAGTTATGGGTAAACATAAAAATTAAAACAGACTGCATTTATATCTTTATAATCACAAACTTCTGGAACAGCTTGGAAAATTCCCACAGGTTTGCAAACGTCTTTGAAAATGCTTACTAGGTGAAGAAAACAGACACACAAAGGTGAAACCCCCAAGTTGATGCGTCTAGAAGCTAGAGAGCCTCTTTCAAACCCAGATTGTCTGGCCATGGAATCTTTGCCTTTAACTGCTATATGATACAGCCTAGAATTCTAAATACTGGTTGTTACATCAGACACATCCCTAAACCCATAAATAGATGAAAGCTAACAAATTACAAAAATGAATGTACTTTGTGGAGGGTTGTTAAAAAAAGTTGTTTTTTTTGTTTTGTTTTGTTTTTTGGTACGGGGGATCGAACTTAGGACCTTGTGCTTGTGAGGCAGGTGGCAGAACCACTGAGCTAAATCCCCCACTAAAAAAAGTATTTTGAACTAAAAAGAGTCTTAGTATCTGTAAAATAATGAGGAATAATCCCCATATTCTACCTATAGGAAAAGTACTATTGTTGTAGTTGAAAAACTTAACTAGATAACAGCAAATTCAGGAAAAGTAATGGAAAGCATGTAATTAAGTATTAATGAACAGGCCAGGTGTGGTGGTGCCATCCATGTAAAATCAGCACTTGGGAGGCTAAGGCAAGAGGATCACAGTAAGTTTGAGGCCAGCTTCGGCTACATAGTGAGTGCAGGATCAGCTTAAACTACTTTTAGGCTTTGTGTGTACTTTTTTCTTTCAATATAGAAAATTGAACACTGTGCTTTTACACTGACCAATAGCCCCAGCTCTTTTTTTTTTTTTTTTGGAGTGTTGACTGTATCCAGCTATTCTACTGAATTTGGATATTAAATTTAGAAGTCTTTTGGTGGAGCTTTTAGGGTCTTCTATATAGAGTACTATATCATCTGGAAATAGTGATA